CACTGTCTTTCTACCTGGCCATGTGGCTAGGTTATTGGCCACTGCTGCTGAGTTAGTAAAAACCCAAACATTGGGTCTTTTACCACTTCTGTTCAGTCTTCCAGGCTAATTAGTTACTACCTCTTTTAACCAAGTGGTATTCTTCCAAATAGCATGTTGACTATTACAATAGCATGTAGCACAGTTACCTAGTAACTGTCATTCATATGCCAAGCAGCTCAAATGAGGGCTGTTTGAGCCCATTGTCCAAGTGTCAACAGAACACAGCAGTCCTGGGTGATACGAGGCTCCCTGTTCCAATCTCCTCTCTCTGTTCCCCAGGTGACATGATTTTGTATCTCCATTCTCTAGTCTAGAAAACACTCACATGTATGATACAAGTTATCTGCATTTACTTCCAGTCTGCTTGTTAGTCCACATATTAGCAATGTTCTTTATTCATGTAACGAAAAAGATGGCAAACATTTGAGACGCTATGGGGCAGATTTCTCTGCTGCAACTAAAGTAAATCCCTTTTATTTCAGAATGACTATAGGCAATACACAAACAAGTGAGCATAACTTTGCTCCAGTAAACCTGTATTTACAAAAATAAGTTGCAGGCTGGGTTTTGGCCCACAGACAGTTTTCTGACTTCTGATCTGTAGCTATTGAGTTTACTGGAAAGTCTAGCATGCTTAGTGATTTTTATGTCAGTAACAAAATCTTACTTCAAAGAAATTCATCTAGATGGCATAGTTGTCTGGCTACCACCAAATCATCTTGAAATTTAGTGTTGAGAAAGCAGAAGAAATAAGATCTGAGATTTATATAGACAAAACGTCAGGTCACACACTTGTTCTAAGAAGCAGGGAGGAGTATAAAGGGCAGCTGGCTTGGTACAGGGGCAAGAGGATGTCTTTATTGTATTTAATCACTGAGACTGAGATAGGCTAGAAGTCAAAGGAGGTGGCATAGGGCTGTGAACCCAGGTACCAACATTCAGATTTTCAATGGAGGTATAAATTAATCCTTTTTCCTAATGATACTGCAGGTCCACAAGTCCAGTGAATCCTAGGTTCATGAAAGAGTGAAGTATATGGGTGAAGACAAGAGCTTTGAGGATTAGGGGGCAGGTAGCAGCCACACAGAGCAGCAAGGAATATGCGGGGTGTCAGGTGGCACTTCTGTGAGGGATGGTGTCCTAGTTTGTTTCTTCTTTGCTGTGACAAAACACTCTAACCACTACCAGCTTGGGGAGGAAAGGCTTTATTTATCTTACATCTCCTGGGTCACAGTTCATCAGGGAGCTCAAGGTAGGAACTCAGGGCAGGAACCTGGAGGCAGGAACCCAGAGGCAGGAGCTGGAGCACAGGCCATGGAGGAACACTGCTTACTGGCTTGTTCCCTTGGCCCCTGCTCAGCCTGCTTTCTTATGCAATACAGGTCCACCTGCCCAGGGGTGGCACCACCCACAGTGGGCTGGGCCCTCCCACATCACTCAACAATCAAGAAGGTGCCCCATGGACATGGCCACAGGCCAGTCCAATGAAGGCAATTCCCCAATTGAGGCTCCCTCAACCCAGGTGTGTCAAGTTGGCACTAAACTATCCAGCACAGTTGACCTCGTCAACTTGACACACAAACACATCACTATTAAACCATAACCTTTCCAATTCCTGTCCCCAAGATATGTTAACATTAATATCACAAAGACAGTACAACCTTAAAAACCCCAGTCTTTAAAAATCCAAACACTTGAAAGGCCATAGTCTCTTAACTGTGGAATTCTATAAAATCCAAAACAACTACTGTCTTATTTCAAAGGGAAGAATCAGGCACACCTAAGCAAAACCAAAGTCCAGCAAAGTAGCTCAAGGCTGGACATCTGGGAGTCAGTCACTCACGATCTTCTGGACTCCAAAGGGTTCTGGCAGCTCCATTTCTCTGACTCTGCAGTCCACAGCACACACAGCTCATCTTACAGACCCAGGCCAGCTCCATTCCATACCTACTGCTGTCCTTGGTGGTCGTTCCATGGTCCCGGCATCTCCAAAAAGCTGGGGTCTCCACTGAAACTGAGGCTGCACCTTCACCAATGGCCTCTTCTTGCCTCTTGGGGTTCAAAGCCTCAGATTCTCTCCATGACCCCTTCAGTCCTGGGGTCTTCACTGCAACTGAAGCTGCACTTTCACCTATGGCCTTTCCTGACCTCTCAGAGTGCCAAACCTCAGCTGCTCTCTGTGATCACTTCATGTTTTCAACACCAGGACCATGCAGGAGACTCTTATACATTACCAAGTCCTGCTTCTAGCTTGAGATGGAGGCTTGGGTCCCCTCTGTGTGCTGACCCTGAGGAAATACCTCCCAGATTTCACCACAGTGATGCTGGTCTCTTGTTACTTACAGCTGATTTTTCAGCCCCAGCTAACTAGCATCAATTGCCCCAGCAAAGCAAAGGTTTTGCTTCAGGTTCTGGTCTCTTCTTAATCACAGCTGATTCTTCAGTCCCAGCTGACCAGAACCCACAGATTCTCAATTCATAATCTCACACCAACAGCCCTGATAGTCTCCGCTTCCCTTTGAAGCTTCATAAGCCAGGCCTCCAGAACCCACAACTCTTTCAACATAACTGTTCCAACCTCCACAGCAACAAACTCTAAGCACTCAATGGCTTTTTTAGCCCAAAGTTCTGAACGCTTCCACAGTCCTCCCCAAAACACCATGGGTCAGGTCTGTCACAGCAATAGCCCACTCTCTGGTACCAATTTCTGTCCTAGTTTGTTTCTTCTTTGCTGTGACAAAACACACTGACTACTACTAACCTGGGGAGGAATGGGCTTATTTATCTTACATCTCCTGGGTCACAGTTCATCAGGGAGCCCAAGGTAGGAACTCAGGGCAGGAACCTGGAGGCAGGAGCTGGAGCACAGGCCATGGAGGAACGCTGCTTACTGGCTTGCTCCCCTGGCCCCTGCTCAGCCTGCTTTCTTATGCAACACAGGCCCACCTGCCCAGGGGTCGTACCACCTATGGTGAGCTGGGCCCTCCCATTATCACTCAACAATCAAGAAAGTGCCCCATGGACATGGCCACAGGCCAGTCCAAAGAAGGCAATTCCCCAATTGAGGCTTCCTCAACCCAGGTGTCTCAAGTTGACACTAAAGCTATCCAGCACAGATAGGATGTGGACAAAGGGTAACCACTTGGTTTGCAATACCTATAATACAGTTCATTGGTTTTAGGTAGCTGAGGTTGTAATACAAGTGTTTCTAGGCTTAACTTCTCTCTCCTTTCTCCTGAAGTTTGATTTTGCAAACACTGATTTACTTTTCATGGTAACTCGTATTAAGATTGTGTGATCAAGTTGGGTTGGAGAGATGGCTCAGCAGTTAAGAGCACTGGCTGCTCCTGCAGAGGACCCGGGGTGATTCCCAGCACCCACATGGTGGCTAACAACCGTCCATGTCTCTAGTTCCAGGGGATCCAACACCTCCTTTGCAGGCACTGTACGAAATGTGTGCAGTCAATACTCACACACAAAATATTTTAAAAAGACTATTATATGAACAAGTCAAGCAAAAGGGTTGAAATTCCACTTTCCGTCACATTGTTACAATGATTTTTTTTTTTTTTTTTTAAAGATATAAGGCTCAGGGAAAATAACAGAATGAGGGGCAGAAAGAATACTGATGCATCCCCGAACTCTCACCAGAGAAGCTCCTTCATGCAACAGATGGTGACTAACCAAGATTGCAGAGTGGGTATCCCGGAATAGGACGCCTCTATCAAATTTCCACCACCCAAGACTCAGGGACCATTGTGGAAAAGGAGGTGGAAAGACTGTAGAGTCAGAGGTGGTTGATGTCCACAAGGAAAGTATTTTTCCAGTCAGCTGATAAATTTCTCATATGAACTTACAGCAATGGTGACAGCATGCATATGACCCACGCAAGCTGAAGCCAGACAAAGTCCCAGCATAGAAGTAGGGAAATAGAGAAGATGCCCCAACTTCAGCTGAGAAACTGGCAGATGATTACTGGGAGAGGGAGAGTTGGCTTTAAGAGTGTTACTTTAGATAGGTTAGCCAGACTCCAGTGGATGGATGTACACTGAAGGATATTTGGGGACACAAACGTGACTTGATAGGCCTTTATATGACAGAGTACATGAAATCCAGTGAGGGCTGTAGATTGGGGGGGGGTCTTAATATAATCAAAATAGAAAAAATTATACCCAGTATTGTATAATCCAACTATATAATTTGTATTATATAATAAACTATCACAAAAAAATTTTATAGGACAATTTCCTGTGTGACTTACATACCCATAAAGCAGACAGCTGATAAATGTCACCCTCAAAAAAGTTCAATTTTGCTTTTGTCAGCCAAAAATTACAGCAATAAAACAATCATGTTTAAGGACAATTTAAAGGCCAAATTTTATCAAATTGTTTGGTCTGTTTCAGAAACAAATAACTATCTCCTGGCAAACTGTTTCTCAAAGTGGCTTCTCAGTGTCTTACTAAAATTCCTAATACTTACATGACCAAGGCCCTATCCCTATCTGTGTAACTGGGTATAAAAGGCATGCATACTCCTTTGTCTTGTAAAGCTTTTCTCCTTTTCACTTCTGAACCTAGTAAATTCTATGATTCTAGCTTTTTTTTGCAAGAAATATGCAACTTCCTTGGAGATGATTTCAGAGAATTTAAACTTGTCTCGGTATACAATAATAATACAGGAACAGTTTTTTTTCCTATGTGAAGTGCTCATAGCTGGAAGCAGTACAAAGACTTGGAACTCTAGGCATTTAACTTCTTACCTTGTTGATGGAAAGTGCAAATTAAATGTCAAGAGGAAACTAAGTTAGAGAAACCTGATCCAGTGAGATGCCCCACAGCTGTAGACAAGCTAGGTCATGAACTTGAAGAGCACCGATGCCATTAACCCATGGCAGAAGTCACTTCCATTGAGTAATACCCCAACAACCAGTCTTTCGAAAAACATACGTGAACTAGTCCAGTTTTACTAATAACTTTATTTAAATAAGACACAGGAACTTCTATACTGAAAAAAATACAAAACAGAAGCCACACATTTCTTGTGTAAAGCCATATTGTATAACTCGAATACTGTTCAGCGCCGTGGCTAAAATTAAACAGTACAACTATATACAAAATTTAAACAATTTCTGACAAATTTCTACAGCTGAATGTAGGATACATTTGAGCTCAACAACTTCTGGAAAATTTACACAGCAAAGCATAAGCTTTAACACATTTGGTTCAAAATTTTAATATATGCTAAGAACAAATGTACAACACAATATTTAGTTTTTCATGAGAAAATAAAAGCACATCACTATAAATATCATACAACAGATTTCGTCACCAAAAAGGCTATTCAGTCCAACTTTCTGAAATTGATGATACTATTGCATCTTATTTAGACAAAAGCAGAGCATAAGATCAACACATCAAGTAACGCTAAACCAGATATCAGAAGTGGAGCTCATATTTATCTTACAGATATCTAGTAATTTTCTCCCTTTAACCATAATCTACAAAATATAGTATTTTCATCAAGGCCTGAGATTATTAGGGTTAAAGGTGTCAGCTGCTGAAAAGATTGTTTTAAAAGGTTCCCCTGTGAAAAAATGGCAAACGTAAACTGAGTCCTTTTCTCTGTGACAGTCTCCTACGATATAACACTGACTAAAGGAGCCAGAATGCACCTTCAGGAGAGAATGTTACTGCAAACTTTGGTGGAAAGGAGAGAATTGGGGATGACAAAGTAATACACAGCACACACACACGCACATGCACACACACACACACATTTTTTCAAAAATAAAATGGTGTTGCTTTCTTCTCTATCAATGCATCCTTCTCCAATTTCTTTAGAAAAGAGACAAAACAAAGAAAACCAGGAATGATTGAAGGGAACTGGAACGTTCCTTTAACTGTAGGCACCCTGTTCCCCTAATTTAAAAAAAAAAAAAAGTGCCATACATTTTAGGTGGAGAGAGCTCTAGGTTTTAACTGAACTGAAAGCAATGGAATACAAATACAAACACTTCCCTTTACATCTGGATAAGCTCTGTGTCACAGAAAACAATGTCTGGAAGTCAGGCTCTCCAACTAACCAATCAGGAATATCTAGGGCTCTCTTTAGATTCTGTGAAGAACTTATGTCAAGACTGCAAGTTCAAGGCTATTTACTTGGGTTTATGCTCTATTTCACATATTCCAAGTCTTAACAAAATTATTCATGATAGTGTTATGTGAGGTTTAAATGAGACTGCTTTAAACTATTGCTCTTGTAAGACAAGTAATCTGCTTGCTTGTGCTGCATTAATTCTGAGACATACATATTCTCTCTATGTGAATGCAACTCATGCATCTAAACTGCTTGAGGAAAACAGTAACCAAAAGTGTGTCACTTTCAAAGCTGCAAATTAAAGAATTTCCTAAGGCAAAACTAAACATATCTTTAGATAAAAATGACAACAATTATGACCCTGGTGGCCAATATTAACAAAAATCCTTAGTCATTTACTCCTGCAAAACTTCACTAGTTTTGAAATTAAACCTAGACATTCTTGCCTTTTAATTTCATCACACACAATGTGGAATGTTTATAGAGTCTAGTACTGAACACTTTGTTTGCAACATTGTTAACAGTTATTAACTAAGCAACACCTGAACTTTTAAAAAAGCCACATTTACACATGTTGAAACAGCGAATCCAACAGTTGTTCTACTGGTAACCACATGACACAAGTGATGTCAGACACCACAGATTTGCTGGTTCTTCTCGGTTCCCCATGTCCAGGATTACCATTCTCCTAGGGCTGAATGCACTTCTTATTCTAAGAATGTGGAATGGAATGAGGAAAGGGAAATGCATAAAATAAGGAAAGGCAAAAGAGTGATGGTCCCTCTTTAGCTGTGAAATACTTACTATCCCAATATGATATACATTCCAAGTTACCTGAGTTTAGACTTCAACTGAAGTACCTGAAGCTAGGCCATAGGGTGGGCACTGTGCAACTGTTGTGGCCATTTTTTTTTTTTTTTTTTTTTTTTTTTTTTTTTTTTTTTTTTTTTGTCTTTTTGAGACAGTATCGTTAGAAACAAACACCTGGATCAATTGTAAACATAATCCTGAAGTACAGTATTTTCCATAGGACAAAACACAGCAAGACATGTTCCATTTAGACAGGCAATTTTTTTGATATAGAGCTTATTTATACTGAAAATCTGGAACAAAACACAGGACACAGTACTAATTGTCAAACATACTATGAAATGCATAGTCTCCACTTAAAATGCTGAATGACACACACATTTTGCAAGCATTACTGCTTTCCACAAAAACTGCTGAATAGGAGTTCGGTCCCTGCCAAGATCAGTGTTAAGAGCTATTTTATGATGCTAAGTGTTTTGCTGTTGGTGTTGGTATTCAGTTTGTCACTCCATGCAGATCTCATTCCCAATTCAAGGGATATGGGTGGAGGCCAGCTCCCTCTCTGCTTTAGATCATCACATAGTTCTGAGTGGAGATGTGGTCTTCAGTCTGCAGGTCCTGCAGGAGTTGTTGCTGCTGGGATGGCTGCTGGACAGAGGCCTCCAGGGAGCCCACTGTGCTGGTGTCCTCAGAAAGAGATGTAAAGGAAACCCGAGAAGAAAGCTGCTCAACGGTCAGAGTTGCCAGAGCTGAGCTCTGGCCAGAGTTAGGAGAGTTCTTGAGCATCAGATCAGAGGCAGGTAAGAGAGGACCTAGAAGCTTTACAGGACAGAAAGCTGATCCAGTTGGGATGAAATTAACCTTGTTTTTGTCAGGACATGAAAAGAGAGGGGCCGAGATCGGCTGACGAGACCTAAAATCATAAAAAAAAATTAGGCTTGCAATCACTGTGGAGTTCAGCACTTTGTGAATAAACTGGAGTTCTCTACAACAGCTAGAATATGAATGGCAGGGAGGGGTTAAGGGCACACAAAGGGATAAACATCTTCCATAGCACAGGTCAGCTGGCAGACCATTCATGTACACAGGACTGAAGTGATATTTGACACAAAACAATTTTCAAAAGGACTGAGCAAATTTTTAGAGATCATTAGTTTGCTTCCAATAATTTACAAATATGAAAAAAAATCTACATCATACTTAAATACTATGCAAGGTTAGGATGAACTTTGCTGTTAAGTATAAAGAGGGGCATTACCTATCATGCATTTGGTTTTAAGCCCTTTCTCCTTTTTCTGCATCTCTAGATATACTTCTATTAGCACAGATGGGAGGAAAAAAAAAAGTTTCAGTGGTCTCTCAAAGAGTCAGTCAACCAACAAAATAGAGTTCACATCTCCACCCCTCTCTCCTTCCATTTTCAAAACTTAAGCCACCAACTCCTGCAAAGTCTGTCTCTGCCCCCTTTTAGGTTGCAAGAGGGCAACAGCTTGCATTAGGTATCTACACCAGGACAAAGGAACAAGTGTGACAAAGAAGCTCTTGGTCTCTGAGCTATTTTAGAAGCCCACAGGTTACAGCATCAACCTCTTTTTCTTGTCTAATTTCTAATCTGTCCATGTTGAAATATTTAAATTAAAAAAATGAACAGAAAGCACGAAGTCACTGATAAATATGCTAGATATGTCTATAGTGAAGAGATCACTTTCCCATTAATCATAGAGATAAAAGAGGAAGGAGAGAAAAAAGGGAAGGAGAGAAAAAAGGAGGACAGAGAGGGAGAAAGGAGGAGGGAGGCTGGAAAAGGGGAGCAGAAGAGAGGAACAAATTTCAGAAGGATGACTTCCTAAGTTTCTTTGTACTGACTTAAATATTTCTAGCTTACAAACTCCAATTCTCCTTCAGTATGACCTTTTTTGTGTATTCAATTCTCTTTTCATAATTTGAAACAAGCATCAGGTGGATGGAGTAGTTGATTCATCTAACTCAACTGGTCTCAGTGAAAAGCTGCAGATCCCAGCTGACAGAAAAGACATTACATTACTTACGCCATTTCCTCAAAGACCTTCACTCGCTCACATCCCTCTGGGGGCTCCCGTTTGAACATGTAGCTGTTGTTTGGTTTGGGAGATGAAGCATACTTGGGTAACGGTGAGCTACTCCCACTGTCTGTAAATTTAAAGCAGTTATATTAACTAGTGATTGAAAGTGCTTTTAAATTAAACTTGAATCCAAACAGCCTTTTGCACAACTTATCCATTAGCCCTTCAATCACAGAGCCTCTTTTCATTGCAAGGCTATTTCTAACTGGGCAGTTCATTTTTTTTTAAAAGAAAACCTTAAGTGCAATAGTAATCTATAGTATCACAGAACATAAAGGAGGGAATTTTAGTCCAGAAAACTTTGAGTAAAATCACAACTGCAATAATGAAACTATTATTATTTATTATGTATTTCAATAATGTACGTGAATGGAGTAATATGCATTAATCACACAGAAGAATTACAAGGTTATAATAATGTGTTCATTGTCCAACCAATTTAACTGAATTTTTTGGAGGCCAACAATTTTCACTACAAAAGTTCTTACCAGAAATGATACTACTGAAACACCATGAATAATATGTACACAGGGGAGGAGGTTTATAACATGTCTTCTATCCGTCCATAAATTTTAAAAGGTAATTTGTCCAGAAGGTTGCCTCTAAAATGTCTCTAGAAGTACTTTTTCAGCACTGCTTGCATTCTAGTCACTGAAAGGACATGAGAAGTCCAAAAACAGCTCTACCTAAAATGTTTTCCTCATATTTTTTTAAGCAAAACCAAAATGATCTATTCATGAAAAGCTATAAAACCTATATGCAATTTCTTCTTTTCCTATCTGGCAAAAGGGTTTGGAAATTCAAGTCCACTAAGACGTGTCATTATCTTTGTAAGATGCCAAGTTTTAAAGTCAGTAACATTTGTATAAATATAGTAGTCCTATTTATGCAAGTTCTGACTTAATAAAAACCAATTCTCACTGCTAAAATACTAAGCACATGATCGACTGAGATGCATCATTTCCATCTATTCTGAAAGATGGTATTAAAATTATATTACAATTCTGGTACTTGCTTTAGTTTAGGATATAGAAAAAAGTTCAACATTGGAAACTGAACATGAACATTTTTATCATTAATGGAGCATAGTACATGCTTGAGAGTAGACCTTTGGTACCCACTAATACTTCTGTGAATAATTCAAATGTTAGTCTTGGGAATGCAGATCTGTACTTATATTTGAAAACAGCTGTCTCCTTGGTTGGGAAATCACTGTAAAATATCAAGGCCACATGCTATTTATAAAAGTACCCAGTTTATCACTATTAGATACATTCCTACAAAATATGCATAGAATAACCTCTTGGAAGGAATTAAATTATAGAATGAGGTGAGTTCTTCACAAGGCACTCAGATTTAATGATTTTTTGAGTCTCAACCCTTACCCCTATATATCTCATTTAAACAAACAAAAGAAAGGAGGGGGAACAAGATTCTCTTTCCTAGGTTGATGCAAAGCACTGAGGAGCCTGAGCAGATTGCTATCTGTCTGAATAAGGTTAGATTAGGAAGACTGGTCAAAAAGCTAGTAAGAATGATGCTTTGAACTCATTTATTGCCCAAACGGCAGCATACTACATGAAAGAGACCAAGAATACGAGTGAATATGGCATGAGATGCCTCATGGATATTACTGCTGGACATTGCATAGCCACCCAGCATGTACAATTACCATCAAGCCATGCCCTGGATCCTTTCAACAAGTCTGTCATGCCATCACCAGGGGTATGACCATGCCAGTAGTCAAGGACCCACCCTACTGTCACACAAGAAAAGTCATCTTGGCCACAGCTTTATCATCAAGCCTAATATACCATTTCTCTTCACACTTTTATTATGATTTTAAAGATCTCTCCCAAAGTTGAAACTAGACATGAGTTAGATAACCTGAAAACTGATACATTTTTCTGTCAGCAATTCAGAATCAATTAAATGACTTTTTTTCTTAGTTTTTTTTCCTTCTAATTTGAGAGACTATAAGCGTATTTAAAAAAAAAAAAAAACAGACTACTATCCTCAGGCCTCTTGGGGTAAGTCTATAGCGCAAGTCTATAGCAGCTCTCCGTGCAGGGACTCCCTAAGCCACATTCACCCTTCCATCCCCCTCCTCGCCGTTCTATACTCCTAGTTTGAGCCCCCCGCCACCCCTAGTCTTGGGGCCCCAGACACCTGGGGAACCAATACTGCTTCCTGACCCTTCGCACCCAGAGCAACCCAGTCCCTTTCTTGGGCTCCAGGAGCACCACTTCTGGTCCTGGCCCTGCCCTCACCTCGCTCTGCTTCCCTGGGCCTGCACCAC